ACAGATCCCCTCTGTAAAAAAAAAAAAAAAAGAAAAAAAACAAAAAAAAAACAAAAAAAAAAAAAAACAGGGCTGTAAATCAGCTAGACCTGATAAGCATCTACAGAACACTCCAACAACAGAATATACATTCTTATTAAGTGCATATGTGACGTTCTTTAGAACATGTCAAAACAAGCCAATAAATTTTAAAAGATTGGAATCATACAAATTATATTCTCCAATGACAGTGGGACAAAATTAGAAATAACAATGGAATTTGGAAAATTCACCAATATGTGGAAGTCAAACAATACACTTCTTAATAGATCCAATAAGATACTACACAAAAGGAAGTGAGATCACCAGTATGTGGACATGAAACAACACACTTCCTAATAGATCAAAGAAGATATTACACAAAAAGAGACCAGAAATCAGTAACTTAGCTTCCCATCTTAGAAACTAAAAGAAGAGAGAGTAAGCCCAAAGCAAGCAGTAGGAACAAAATAGTAAGGATTACAGCAGAGGTAAATGGGGAATTGGGGGGATATGGCAAATATCAACAAAATCAAAAGTTGTTTCTTTGAAAAGATGAAAAAAAAATGACAAACCTTTAAGGTAGAGTAAAGGGAGAAAAAGGACTTGCATTAGTAAAATTCAAAATGAAAATGAGGACATTTTCATTTTGTAAAATTACTACTGATTTTACAAAAATGTTAAGGATTGCAAAAGTACAGTGAACAATTATACACCAAAACTATTGGACCACCTAAACCCAAAACAAGCAGAGGGAAGGAACTAGTAAAGATTAGAGTGGAGATAAATGAAACAAAATCAAAAGAGAAAATCAAACCTAAGAGTTGTTTCCTTGAAAAGACAGATTGGTAAACCTTTAGTTAGACGACTCAAGAAAAATAGAAGATCAGATGACTAAAATCTAGAGCGTAGGGATTTTATTATCAACCTTACAGAAATAAAAAGGATTATGAGAAAATGTAACAATGCCAAAAAATTAGGCCTACTTGAAATGGCAAGTCATATAACTGCCAGAATCAACTCCAAAGGAAATAAATAATAGACCTGGAACAAATAAAAAATTGAATCAGTAACCAAAAATCTTCCAGAAGGGATTCCAGTTTCTGGTCTGGCATGTAAGAAGCTTAGAAATAATCACTCTATCCTAACAACAAGGAAAAAGCTGTTCAGACAAAAAACTTTTCCAAGACCCATCAGAAAAGGGAGTGCACAAGCCAAACCACTGTGCCAAAAATTGAGGAGACAGAAGAGAAGTCATAGATAGAAGTGAGGATCACATTATTGAAAAGTGAAGGAAAGACCATCCTTGTTATAAAGTGGCAGAGAATTTGGCCGAATTGTATTTGTGTTCTAGTGTTTTGTGGAAGGTAGCCTTATGAGTGATTAAATTGTGTCTTTAGCTGAAGCTTTTTTTTTTTTT